TAAATAATCATAATAGTACATGTTTTAGATTCAGTGTTCAGAGTGTAGGTTTCATGGATTTGAATTATATGATTGATATATAGAATTTTAGGATTTATGATTTTATATATACCCTTGAGCTTTTATATTTATATATATTTTTTTAGGATTTATTTTATATCCTTAAGATTTTTTGTTTTAATATTTAGTGTTGGTATTATAAAATGTGATTTATATATTTGTATTACATTTAATAATATATATATATTTTATATTATTTTTCTTATAATGATATGTATACAGACATGTGTTTTGACATTTTATAAATTTTTATATATCTTATATAATTTATGTTAATTATAAGGAGAAAAAACTTAATAAAATTTATTTTATATAGTATAGAAAATACGCTTTCCTATTTATATATCATTTTGTATTCGTTTTTTTATTGTTGGAAAACTGTTATTGATGTATGATATGTTAATATTGTCTTATAGTACAAATATATTCCTTTATAAATAGAAATTTTGTGTTACATTATTTTACACAATTTACATTTATCATTTTATAATTGTATATATTATGAATTCATATTTTTCTTTCGTCATTAAACAATTAACATTCTGAATTCTTCTTTATATTTTAATTTATTACACTATTTATTCTTTATAACTACATTATTTTGATATAAACATATATATAAAAATGTATTAGTATGTTATTTGTTGTGTCGTATATATTATGAAATTTTCAATTAATACAGATTTTAAATTTCACAATAATAGCTTAATTTATATACATACTTTAATAATTTATCTAATAAATTATTTAACAGCACTTTGAGTTATAGTGGAAGACTAAATAACTTTTTAAAGAAGTCATTTTTTTAAAAGACAAATATAAATTGCATATTATTATTATAATTTACCCATGATATATATTCATTATGTGTTCATTTATGCTCTTCCACATCTACGTTAATTAATAATTCATGAAAATAGGACATTGTTACTATATAAAAAACAAAAATCATATTTTTTTATTTTGAGATAAGTATAAAATTTCTAATACGTATGTTCTTTTTTATTTATACAATAAAAGATATATCATGAATATATTTTATTTCACAAACACTTAATCTGATAGATAACAATGGAAAAATATTATTTAAATTGTATTAAT